GAACTGTGACTTTCGGTGTGCGCTTTGCCGTGTGACGACATGCCCATTTGGTGTAAGAATAGACGAACGGCTTCAAGCGAATGGGTTCTGTAGCTCTCAATTTTGTTGTGTGGTAAAAATTTGGTAGCTTCAATGATCCGGCAGGCAAATTCGTGCGTTCGGAACTGTAATACCATTCTTCACAGACAGCTCCTTCAATGCCCGTGATACTTGGAATTATCAGATAAAGGCGTTTGTGAGGCTGATAGCAACTGGCCAGGGTATCCATGGTTCCGTTTGTAAAACCCTACCAACATTATGTTCAAATCGCGTTAGACATAAGATAAGATCACTGGTGAGAGCGTGCGTGGTCGAATTCCAATGACACTACCCTGGCCGGTTTCACTTATAATAAATAAGAATCAGCTGACCCAAGGTCGAAAGAAATCAATTTAATGTGGAACGTGTTTAAAATCGTCATATAACGAACAAAAGTCGCTTTTGACCGTTTCGCTTACCGTAAATCGTGTAAGCTATCCACATAATAGTCAGAAAAACATTTTCTAGGAGCAAACTTCTTGAAATGTTAACCTTCAGTTTATCGAATGTCAACTATTCAAAAGTTTACTAACAAACCCAGGCAGTTGGACAGGATACAAAAGACATTATTCTGTTCAGCCATGAATAACAGTGAGACAATCGATCCTCTGGGGATATGACCACTTGTTCAGTAAGTAACGGCTGGATATTGCGAAAAATACCAGTAACCACTGCTCCACTGAGATCCCTCCAATACGTTCGTGGAATTGTAACTCCAATATATTGGAGTATGAAGAATAATAGCACACGTTATAATTATGATCACTATTTCGATACTCAATTGTACTAACCGAGTCATTATTGGGTATCGGTCGCAACCTCGTTCACTACCGATGTCCACTGAGAAGATATACCTTTTTGTTTTCTCTGTTGTACACATGGAGTTTCACTGGAAAAGTTGATGGGACACCAACCGGTACCACATGAAACAATTCTTCGATAACCCAATGCAATCCACTTCCTTTTGTTCATCGAGCTGGACGATTTGCTTGTTTGGTAGTACAGGATATCAACCTGACTAGTGACGAAGCAGGTGAAAGCAAATTGACTAACTCAACAGGGGAAACGAACTTGAAAAATTCAGGCTACGAGAACCGCGTGGACATTAGCAACAACCCACTCTTCCGGATAACAGGAGCAATCACGAGCTTTGACTATTCACCCAACTCGATTCGAAAAGAATGTTAGATGATAGCCAATTTGTATAAACCGCTAGACTAAAATACGCTTTCACAGAAAACTTTGTCTGCTCGATAATTTCGGAGCTGTACACAGACGACCTTGNCATACACAACTAAGGATCCAGATTAATGAGGAATAAGTAATCTATGCGAGCTTTGTGAGGCTTTTCTTAACGCGATTTGATTTTTCAAGGAACAACTTACAGCTTTGTGCTGTGTATTTAGTGATACAATAGCGAGGTAGATTCCCTATATACTCCGGAGATATCCGTGACGGGTAAATTTCCGGTTGACAGTAACTAATACCGATGCCTTAAATTAGGAAACACAACACTGGATACAATATCTGTAAGCATGATCACAAGGGAATCCCAACGTTCGGTAGCAAAGCATTTAGGGAATGGTTCCCCACGAATGTCTTGATATCTGGAAAATTGTGCGCTTCAAAATAACATTCAAACTGTAATAGTTCGTTTTCGACCAGATCAGTTCCGTGTTTCGGTTTTACTGTCTGCATCTCGAGCAGCATCTTTCGGTATGTGGTGAAAACGACAGGGCGAATGGCTTTAGACACTTGAAGATAAGAATGCACATACGGAGAACACAGAAAGCAAAAATGATTGAAAAGAACTACATAAATATTTTTGAACAAGAGCATTCATTCTGTCTGCCTATACCAGGTGCAAAATCGTACTGTCAGAGCTCTTAAAGCGGTATGAGGATTCGATTACCGATTGCATCCAATGGTGGAGTTGCTGTCTGCAATCTGATTCCTATCATGCAAGGGATACGAAGTTCAAATCCCGGACGGGTCGCTGAATACACATCGCTGATGAATCCAAGCAAGAGCAAAATCAAGTCCGGCTATTCTCAAATGTTTGACTGGATGAACTGGGGATTGTGAGAATGCAGTTTGAAGGATGGTGAGTTTAAACTAATATAATCTACCCTACGCCACTACTCATAACTGTGAATGCGACGAAACTCGATGACATGTCGGAAAGAGAACGTTTCACTTCAGAGGGATTTAGTTTTGGTATTGGAATTGCCCTCTTTGTCCACGGCTTTATCGTCAATGCCGCTGGAGAGGAGGGAGGAAACCCCAGTATGGCTTGGCCAGGAGCACAATAGCGGTGAGAACTGTGAAGGCTTAAGGGAAAGACTGGTGGCAATGACTGATAAACGATTCCAGAGTGTGCTTACGAGGCAGGATAAAGGGGTGATGAAACAGTAAGTTTGTTGATACACATCGATATTTGGGGTCAAGTGCACGTAGGGTTTGTTGAAACCTAAATCCATTTTTTCCTTCACAGATGTCTCCTCTCACCAGGTGTTGGATGTACTAAAAACCTATTTTGCAGAATATATAGTTGATTAGTAATGCTGGCCACATAAACAATACTAAGAGATAAAGGAATAATGACGCATGGTAAAATGCTACATCCATTGGTTTAGCCACCGACTTCAATGCAACTATTTCACTCCAAGTCTAGGTGATTTCCTTAAGGTGTATGTGTGCTTGCGCATAGCGGAATGTACACTCTTTCCCACACGGATTAGTTGTGAAAAAGAAATCAGGGGAAATTCAATCCGGTTAGGAGGAGTGTACTATTGCAATAAGCTGTGTACAAATTGAGAAAAAGGAGGGAAAGGATGACAAGTGCACACGCCCGATACGCAAACTTGTGTGTGCCTGCGATGCAGCTGCCGGTGATTGCGCCAAGTCTCCTCCGGACGGAACGAGTGAAACGACAGAATCCGGAGACGCAGATTCGGAATCAAGTGTGAATGCAGCAAACGAATGAGAATAGGATCATAGACCGAAAAATTTGCGCTGCAATGGAGCTGTAAGCCGTTGAGCGATCGCGGCTGAATGCACAGAGACTAGGGCCAATTCATGTTCATTCAGTGCATTAACTTGGAGGATTGACTGGAAGTTGAAAGTCAACACATGAGGAGGGGGGATTCAAAACACCAAGTAAACAAGAAGAGGAGTGATACCGGGAAGCACATGTAACGTGCTCGAATAATTCGTAACCAAAGACTTTATATGAAAATAGGCAACGATTACGCAACTAAAATATGTGGTATTAGAGTTACTCAACAATGAACGGCAGGATGAGTTGTGAAATTAAGTCAATCAAACGGAAAACCCTTTGCGTCAACAACAAAAGTAAGATGTTTCAGCAACCGATTGCAAACATTCAAGAAGCGTTTCAACAACAGACATTATGGTTGCTATTGGACATCCTTTACACATTGAACGCACAACGAAGCATTTTCCAAGATTAACAAACATCTCATCACACTTTAAAAAAATCATAATTTTTTATGTTCAGCCTGTCACATTGAATGATCTGTGTTATCCATGAACTTACTTCAAACTGCGAGGTGAACAAGAAACAGGAGTCCAGTTCCGGCTTACTACCATCTGAGACACGTTTCTTAATGCCACCCGGTGCGTAGGACTGAACACAAAAAAGGCGGAGAGGAACGAAACTGATCTTTGATAAAAACAGGACAACTAATTACATGTGGCGGATTGCTTGCAATAGTAAAACGGCAATTATGGTCAGCAACATATGCATCATGATGACTGTGTAGTTTTCGGTAAAAAAACGTAATTATCGCAATACAAACAGTTATGACGTGCGATTATAGCATCAAGCAGGAACACAGATCGCCGTGGTATTTCTATCCTCCACCTATTGCTCAAAGAGCAGTCTCAAAAAATTCATGGTTTAAGGTGCAAGGAGACAAGCAAAGATCATTTAAGCTTGCAATGCCTGCGTTTCTATGCATTCGTTTCGACTACTGTATTATACATCAGTTCGGTTCGAATCATAGAGACGTGAAGTGAAACTTTACTTATACAAAGTGTAAATATACTGTACCATTGTTATAAAGGACACTTCACTCACTTTTACTGGTGTAAAGGTAGGTACTATTTGGCTGAACTGTCATGGAATGCAATCTAACTCAATGTTCACAACAGTAGATGCTACCCTCTAACAGAGCCTTACCCCTTTCTTCAACTGAATCACGTAACGATCCGAAGCCATGAGCCAGGTTTGCGCATTCAAATAGGCTAACGAGTGGATCGATCCAAAAGCTGTACTGAATTCCTCGCCCATTACACGCCAGAATCGGGCTAACCAAGGGTTAAGTGTGCCTCGAAGTGTTTTTCCGGCCGTTTGATCCTCCATTGTGCTCTCATCCGCTCTCTGCTCCTCCGGTCGAGACGCTTCCGAATGTGGTAGGAGTGACCACTCGGTCAGCTGATTATTTGTATAGATTACGGCCAGTTTGCAATCTGGTCCTGGTGCGAAAGCCAATCGGGCAGGTAATGGCGGATGTCCCGATTTGGAAGACACACAGGGACAGACAAACAGAAGTCTTCCATCCTCCGAGCTATGTATTCGAACTCGACCGTCCGAACAGCCGATTGCGATCAGATAGCCCAATTTGCCGATCGGTTGATTGGATACGGCCATTGCGTGGGCAGAAACAGATGCATCCCCATCTGATTTTGAGTCGTGCGACGTGAAAGATATTCAAAAGCATAAATAAGCAGACGATGGACCGATAATGTCAAGAAAAGTGGAGGGGGGGAGAAATGAGGACAGTTCCCGACAATGACTCATTATGATATAGAAAGCAACTCGTATGGGCAAACAGCAAGCAACCCTACTGCCCTATGCCACTTTGAGTAATTAACCTTCGGCAGTCCGTTCAACAGATAAATAAATGCAACCCTGAAGTCCTCGGTGAACAAGTTCGTAGTCTGTGTGTACAAGCAAAGCACAGACGGTTATTCGTTCTTTTCAGTTTCGGTTTGTACAACCATTAACCATGTATTTTCATGCGACGGTTTTGGTTGCTGTCTATTGGCTGTCCATTTCGATAGAAGAGATTTGAGTGTTGAGAGCAGAGTCGAAGTGAAAATAGAGAATTCATATAGACTGGGTTTGTAAGAGTAATGAGTAAATGGACGAACACCACTGTTTGCAACACTCATCCGTATCGCTCAGTGTCTCTAACCATCCGTGACCATCATCTAGGGGTCCCCAGCCAGGGAGCTTAACGGGACACAAGTGACTCAATGTCCTGGTTAGGGTTTTCATACCCTCACGCCAGGTCTACGGTGTCGGGTCGTGATGAGAGTACATCGATGCATTTAGGTAATATGGTTAGATTACTCCAAATAATGAAGGCTTTCATCACGATCAATCCAAGTGTGCAAAGCACTTCTCCTCTTCACCCACAAAAAGCCGACACAGACATATCATCGAAACTAGATCTGTTTCGTATTAATCCGACAGCGTACATTCCAAAACATAAAACTAATAATTCCATCACCGGCAATCCAACTCCGTTGAAGGCATACATGAAACGCATTGATAAAATGAAAGAAGCATTTGTGGGTAACTAACAATTACCATATAAAAATAATTCAGAGTACTACCGATATCGAGTAGTATAACACTATTAGTCCATGCCGGGACCTGGTCAATGCTTCATTCAAAGTGCAGAGTGTCACAATTTGACCGAATTAATTGCTCATTGACTACAATGATCTCAAGGTCCCCACTCAGGAAGTCCAACGAGACCATTGTGGGCAAGTTTGCTGGCCAGTGTTTTCATACCCTCATAGCAGGTCAAGTCTTGACAAGCAGCCGATTGTCCTAACAGCACCATACTTATCTCAAATTGGTAAATGAATACCGAGCTTTCTGTACGTGTCCTGATACTTCATCCATGATGCGTTCGCCAGGTGAGATGTAACTGCCTAAAAAGCAAGATTTGTATATTACAAACATTGATTTCCTAGTTACGATGAGTTTGCCAACTAGACCAACTCAGTCCTTTACAAATACTTTACAGTTTCAAGGTGCAAGACGCATGCCGAACACGGCTACATTAGCACTCAAACTACTCAGAAAAGCTTGCAAATAACCTGGATCTTCACTTAGCAGTGTATACTCCAGATCAGACAATCTGCCATCCAGGGGCAACTTAATGCCACTATCCTCGCACGAGAACAGAGCTGCTTTCGGAATCAAATTCCATAAAAAGTTGAATAGAAAACGAGATAGAAAGAGGGTAACCCTGACGGACACCGACTTCCGAAGTGGACACTCGCCAAAAAGGGACGAGGGCTCGAACTCAGTTAAAGTTATTAGTGTGAAGAGATCGTAATATTGAAATAAACTCCTTGGTCACACCATTCAATGAGAGTCGGAGTTCGAGTATTCAGTGAGTCGAATTATCGTCAGTATCATGGTACCGCGAACTTCACTGATCGCTTTCAAACCGGCAATGCACGAAAGGTTGGTGATGTAAGGCGGACAGGGAGTGAGAAAAAGAACCATGGTCAACACAAATTACAAACAGTGCATAATCACTACTTCAAGCATGTTGACTTGACAAGAAATGGCAACGAGAACCTCACTGTTGTCGGTTTGCTGCGTCTCGAACCAACCAGTCATATGGAGCCCATTCTGAAAGACGAGAGAAACTTACTCTACCTAATATTTTTGTACACTTCTTTATGTCTTACCTCCATGTCATAAGTAGACCTCAAAGTAGTTTTCTTCAGCCCGGAACAATAACTAAAATCAAGGTGCGGTGTGGTAGGCAACAATTAGATATACGCGATGTGTCCTAACCAGCGAAGCCTATTCAGATGAATTCAATGCGATAGCGAATTCGCCTTCAATACATTCCCAGACACAAGACGGCTTACTTCTAGATCGCTAACCTGCTCACTGCATCTTACATGTGCTCAGTTGTGGCACAATATACACGACCAGTAGGTCCAGAATGCTTAAAATAGAGTGCATGCACAGTCGGATATAATTCCTGTCCGCTGAAGGTATTGCCTAAAAGTTTACACGCGTACATGTGCTTGAGACAAAAAGTGAGAAACGCACCACATACAGCGGCCGTGATCTAAGGAGAGTATTGCATATTTGAACTAACCTTGTTCCAATTTGCATCGCCAACGTTTTTTTCCGGTATCTAGCGCCACCGCACATAACTCATCGGTGGACCTAGTTACCAGAACCAGGCTGGCCGCGTTCGGAGTAAATGCCAAACAAGAAGCTGCCGGAAGTGTGAACCACTCCCGAACAGAGTTGCTGCCTCCAACTGGTGTGTTCCCAGCAGTAGGGAAAGCTGGCTCCAATGGACGAAACTCGCGCCATTTCTGACCCGAAGCTGCACGCTTTCGTCCGGAACCTGTGTGACCGTCTTGATCATCAACATCGCCGTCCAGGGCGAAATATCGAGCCACCACTGCCGAGGTCAGCTCATCTTGCTCGTCATCTTCGTTTGTATCTGTGTCACTGGCAGTATCTGATGTGGAGAGCTCGGAAGCCGAGACGTTTCCCAGAGATGTTGCTAAACGCGCATGCTTTGTGGTACGTCGTTTCCACACAACGCGCTTAATGCGCAGTTTTACTCTCCTCAGATCTTTTGCAGATAAGTTCTGTAAGACAGAAGTGGCAGTGATGAGATTGAATGTGGTGGGGTAATACCGTATTCAATCGCGGGAATGCTACTCAAACCGATAGGTGTTGGTAGGGAAAGATCTGAAGTAAGTAAGGATGTCGCACCAGTTCGACCAATACCTATTTGCCAGTAGCGTGGGAGCTTCACGATGAAAACCTACTCTTTTAACAAACTTGTAAATGATGTTTCTGGGTCAATCCTGTGTTCACTGTCGACCAAATGTTGCAAGATTGAGCTGTTTAGGCTTCTCACTGTTCCTTTTCGAAGGGCGGCCGGACAGTGTTCAGATATTCTCTTAGACAAACACCTAGTTGTGTGTCCGATATAACGAGCACCACAAGTGCACGTGAACTGATATAGAACAAACGATTGGGACTGATGAGGCAATTTATCTTTAAGTTGTTGAACAATGAATGGCTT